CCCTCCCTCTCTTCCTTCCTTCCTTCCTTCCTTCCTTCCTTCCTTCCTTCCTTCCTTCCTTCCTTCCTTCCTTCTCTCCCTTTCTCTACCTCATGCTCCCTTTTCTCATTGCAAGGAAAAGCCAAAAAAATCCCTTTCCCAAGGACAAAAAGGGATGGAGACGTGGTCTTTATATTTTAGGGGGGAAAATGGGGGCAAAGTCAAAGGTGTTGGCATGACCCTGCTGTTGTAGGGTTCAAGGACAGAGACCTCCCCCTGCCCAACACCATGGCAACCAACACTATTCATGATGTTTAAGCTGTATACTGAAGATTCAGAAAAAGGAGAAGGAGGAGAAAAAAAAAGCAGTTACAGTATTTGAATGTAAAGTATTTAAGTGAGTCTTTCACGCTAACAATATCCTTTCTTCACTTTCCCCTTAGCTGTGAAGAATTTTTATAAGGAAACTCCTATTTGATGGTGAAAAAAATATTGCTAATGACTATAATTTCTTTAGGGGAAAAGAGAAGTTACTTGAAATAGGTGGGACACTGCAGTTGTTGCTCAAGACTTGAAGGAGGAAGAGAAGAATAGCAACGCTAGACAATGCTTCTCTCTCTGGTGCCAACTCCTCTTAACAGCTTTGCTGATTTCTAAACACATTTCGAAGCCACTGTGGGGTTTACTTGACCTCTACCCAGACTGTAGACTTCAACTCTCTCCCCAGCCCTCTTCCTAAAGATGCAGCCTTCAAAAGATGGGCAGTTTATTAGGCAAAAGCCAGAAGGTGAGCGATAGGAAGAGGAAGAAAGGGGATTGGAAGGAAAGAAACCACCAAATGGGGCCTTGGAGGACAGTGTGGGAATTTCAGTTGTGCATTGAAAGTGCAGTTTGGGGGCTGCCCAGCACTAGCAGGAAATAAGGTGTTGCCAGGGCCCTCAGCTCTGGTTATTTTTGTGATCAGGACAATTGTAGCCCACTAGTGCTGCAGAGGATGACAGCCTGTGAGTCGGAGTTCACCTTGGAAGAGGTGAGATCAAGTTGGTTGGCCCTGAGCCTCCTTTTCTTTTATTTATTTAAATAACACTCCAAATAAGTCGATGCCTTTTCATCTGACAGTTGTACTCAATTCCTCACAACAGTTTTGGCCTCTTCATTTCAATACTTCCTCTGCCCTTGCCTACAGTGAGAGTTCTTCAGGCAGTCCAGGGGCAGGATCAGTATCTCTTTTCCTTCATTTATTTCATTCCTTTTGCCTTCAAGCCCTGAAAAACCAGAAGACAGCTCACTTGCCCTTGTGCACCACAGGCCATCAGGGCTCTGCACACTTCTGAGGGGGATGTGAAGGTGGAGAAGGTGCTCCTGTTGGTAACTGCATGGGCACAGAGAGGCATGGACCAGTCTTATGCTGTTCCTCAAGGCACCTGCTAGAAGTTTGTGCCAGAGGTAGGATCTCATGCTAACTAGGACTTTCTTCTGTCCCAAATACTGCCCAAGTTAGGGCTCCACTGATGTGAGTGGTACCACAGACATCAACAAGGCCAAGAAGAAGAGCAGCATCACAAATGTCCAAATAACCATGTCTGTTCTCACCAGCTGATGCAGGAATTTTCCCTCTAGACTTTCTGCCCAATTACCTGGGAGGTCAAAGGAGTGCAGGGCTGAGCTGTTGTTGCTCAGCTGGCATCACTTCTTTAAAGCCATTCATTGACAACCTGAGATTTTGGTCGCTCCTTGTTTGATCCAGCTTGGACTCCAAGAAAGCTGGAAACTCCTCTCTCTCCCTGCTTGAACTGTATGTGATTAATTACAGACCCTGAGAATGGGCTTCTTGCCTGTGTTTCATGTTTAAATTGCCTTCCAGGATTTTGCAAGGCTAAGGAGCCTCTTCAGATGTTACCTCTGACTGTGCCTCAGTCAAGCCTCCCTTGGTTTTGCTGGGAACTGCAACTGATGCATAGTAAACTTGAAGAACAAATTAAACTGAGTGCTTTGTACATGGATTTGCTGGCCCTGACCCTCCTGATGCTGCTTGAGAAGACAGTGTTCATTTTAGCAATGCAGGAAAAAGAAGTGCCACTAAACAGGGCAGTTGGATGGGGAGAGAAGCTGCTTTTCTGAAGCTCTGCTTTCCCCAGCCCACCCCTAGAAGTGGGGCACGGACAGAATGTGCAGCTGGTGGAGAATATGCCATGAAATACACAGCATTTACCCTGGCAGAGAACCCAGCAGCCCCAGTTGTGAGCCAAGGGGAGTTTGTGCTTGGCACTGGGCAGACAGAAAAACAGTGCCTACCCCAAAGCACTTCCACGCAGAGATGGGGTGAAGAAGAAGGGGAAGGTTGCAGGACTGATGAGACAGTATTGCCACATCCAAGCAGGGAAACAAGATGGTCTGTGGGACAGGGAGAGGCAGAGGATGGGTACCTCAGGGCTTAGGGGTTCAACAAAAAGAGGGAAAAGCTGG